TTGCGAAGGACCAGGCTGGTATCCGGCTCTATCGCCGTAGAGATTGCAGCTTCCGGGGCGGCGTCCAACCGTCCATCCCCGACTAGCGCAGTGGGCTCCGAGCTAATGGTCGGAGCGGACACCTGAGCGACGCTCTGAGAGTTGTCCGGCGGCAGAGCTAAATCATGCCCATCGTGACAGTGCGGCACGCCCGGTCGTGGCTCGAATCCGTCGAAGATCAAGTCCCCGCGGATGTCGGCCGTGTAGTTTAAGCTTCCAAACCTGACCTGATGGCCAGGGGCGTAGCTTTCGATCTGCTCCAGATGGCCAAACGAGTTGGCCCGCAGTGCGAAGCCGCCGAATACAAAGATTTGTCCGGGGAGAAAAGTCTCATCCTGGACTGCATCACGATTGACGAGCGAAGAAGCCATCGGGCCTAAAGGTGACGACACAGAGGAACTCTCAATGAAAGCACCAATGTCGGTGTCAAAACCGGTGGATCTCGGGTAGGGGGTCCCGAACTGTGCGTCTAGGCGGATGGTAATAGGAGACAAGGGACACGATGTTTTTACCCAGGTTCGGGCCCTCTTGATGGAGGTAAAACCCTACTCCTGCTTGATTAATATTGATGATATGGGTAGTACAAGAGTAGATCTACCACGAGATCAGAGAGGCTAAACCCTAGAAGCTAGCCTATGGTATGATTGTTGTTCGTTCTATGGACTAAAACTCTCCGGTTTATATAGACACCGGAGAGGGCTAGGGTTACACAGAGTCAGTTACAATGGGAGGAGATCTTCATATCGTATCGCCAAGCTTGCCTTCCACGCCAAGGAAAGTCCCATCCGGACACGGGACGGAGTCTTCAATCTTGTATCTTCATAGTCCGGGAGTCCGACCAAAGGTCTTAGTCCGGCCATCCGGACACCCCCTAATCCAGGACTCCCTCAATGAGTATAGGGGTTACAAGAGTTGATTTACCTCGAGATCATAATGGCTAAACCCTAGCTTGTCTAGCCTATGAATATTATGATCCTGCCTGCGGACTAACCCCTTCAGTTTATATAGACACCAAAGGGGCCTAGGGTTGTACATAGTCGGTTTTCAGGGAAAGGAAATAGCATATCCGGACACCAATCTTGCCGTTCACGTATACAGGAGTCCTACCCGGACACGGGAGGTGGTCTTCTTCCTTTATCTTAACGGCCCATCAGTCTGGCCCATATCGAATAGACAGGACGCTAGGGGACCCCTTAGTCCAGCACTCCCTCAAGGAGGCTCCCAGGCAGGAGGCCTGCGCCTTTTCGATCTAGATGTCATTGTTTTTTCTAGCCTTCTTAAGGCAGACTTGTTTACTTATGTCAGTATTAAGACATTATTGCTTCCGCTAACTCTTGTGTATTCAAGCTTATGTATTCGAGCCCTTGAGGCACATGGCTTGTAATATAAAGCTTGTATTATTTTATTTTTTGTCTAGACTTGTGTTGTGATATCTTCCTGTGAGTCTCTGATCTTGATCGTACACATTTGCGTGTATAATTAGTGCACGATTGAGTTGGGGGCGTCATACTGATCTTCTCAAGTATTTCTCAAATTTCTTTCGCTGATTCAAGTCTTCGGTATTGGAGGAACTGTGAACAAAAACATGGTTGTAGACGACGTCCTTTGCTTGTGCATCAACTTGAGCGAGCCTCTTTTCCCATCGAGTGAGATATCCTAGGGTCTCAATCATGTAACCGTGCTGCACAACGTGCCACATATCATCATCGATAGCCTTGAGGTGTACCCGCATCTTCTCCTTCCAAGTCTGTTCCATCGAAGACAAGAATCTTTCAGCTAGACTTGACATTCACTGCGGAAGACATACTTAACTCTAAGGTTGTTAGACCTTAAAATGCAGAGACAAGGAGTACCTTGCTTTGATACCAATTGTAGGAATGAGAGTATATCGAGCCGAGGGGGTGAATGGGATATTTAATATTTCTTTCGAAACTTGAAATTCTTACTACACATCAGCGGAAAATAAACTCAACAGAAATAAAACTATGAAAGAATACATTTAAGAACAGATAGATAGGGAAACGAAACAAAAAAACAACAAGTACTAAAGGTGATGCTCGATGGCGACAAGGTGTTTGGTATACTAGTTCACTCCTCTGCAAAAGAGTTATGTCTAGTTGGACGGACTTGTGATTTAACACATAAGATAAACTCTCTTTGTCCTATTCTTCTCGACAACAAGTTTGTACACTTATGCCAATTACTCGAGGTAGATACTTCAGGCGATCTCCACAACCTTCACAAACTGTCTTCGCGAACCACAATGATCTCTTGGTTGCTAAGGACTCCTAACCGTCTAGACAGTTTGCAGCTCTCAAGAGTAATAGGTTGAGCATACTAAACTTAGATCTCTGTGATGCTCAACCACTATCTAGTTTTTCGGCTCTGGGGGTTTCTCTCGATGGATTAACTCAAATCTTTCAGAGAGAGGGTGCTCAGACAATTTGTTAGAATCACACAAAGCATCCAACCATCTTGGTTGGAATCAGGTGGCTATTTATAGCCGGATCAATCCTGAGGGGAAATGACCATTTAGGACACGACGTGGAACCAATGGGAAACCGACACATTTCCAACGGTTGGATTTCAAATGCACACGTCAACTTTACATGAGGAACAAGTAAGGTTGACTCATGTGCTGAAACATCTCGCAGTCTAGAAGATCAATGTTTGTGATTGGCAAGTAAATGTTTCAAGGAAACAAGAGTTTTCTCTCAGCTCTCATAGGTTTCGGTTAAGCATCATAGAAACATAATCAAAGCACTAGAACCCCTCTTAGTAGTACAATTTGTCCTATGACTCAAATAAGAGAAAAGGAGCCATAGAAGAAAATACTATGTTTTCTGTTCGTCTTCTTACTTCTCAGTTGTAGTCACATTCTTGGGACCACACACAGAAACAATTGCTTCACATCAGCAAATTTTAGGGGCCACATCCATCACGCAATATCTTCGACGACAATCTTCTCTGCTACATAGATGACAATCTTTGAAGTTTATAGCAAACTTCTCTGAACTCTAGGGACCTATAATCTTTATGTGCATTAGCAAACAAATTAGCCCCTTACTATTTCTATCAACAATCTCTAAAACATAAGGACACAACTTATTGCACCTACAAAAGGTAAGGGGACTTTCTACGGTCTAAAACTGGATCTTAAAAGGTTATCAGGGGAAATCACTGTGGAGGGATGGGAGGATCTCGCTCCCATAGTGCACCTGCCATAGGGAGCAACCCCTTCCGCAAGTCAGCCACCCTTGGCTGCATATATAAAGGAGAGGGGTGCACCCCCAGGGGGCATGTCCCAAGGCCACCCCTTGCTCTCTCTCTCTCTCTCTCTCTCTGTTTGACTGACACGTTGAAACGCTCCTCCTCCTCACCTAGTTCTTCAGCAACCCTTTGTCCTGGAAGAAAAAGTGATGCCAAATCACTAACATAGTACGACGTGGATTCCGCAAAGGCATCATACTTTCGGTGCTAGATCGGCGGATAACCTTGGTAGTATTCTCGCCACCGAGAGGTATAACCTAACAGCAGGAATCCTCAAGTCTTGACCAACAACTCTCCCATGATTACTACCACCGCGTGAGAAAATTTTGTTGGTGGTAATATGATCGTTGTCCTTGCATCTTCATAGTTTTCCTCTTAGTGTTCGTAGGTACGGTATTTTTTATTTATTTTCTACCAGGTTCCCCAACATAATACGAGGTTTCATTTTTGTCTAGTTCTTGCCTTTCAAAGAATTTTATAAGGTGATGCCTTATATGGATGAGTCTAGAGTGTTACTTTTTAAAAAAGGTGATGCCTTATATGGATGAGTTTAGAGTGTTACTTTTTATGTTAAGAGAAGAAACACATTCAAATTAAGATGAGACACAATAAATATGACCCACATATTGAGTATTTGCCTGAAAAAAATTGCCCTTGGTCTGTTTCGTCCTAGCCGTGGATTAAAATCCAATGGTTGTCTTCATCTTCTTCCTCCCTTTCTGTGTGATGCACTGTTTATCTTCTTCCTATAACCATCTTTTGACGCTCGCCCAACCGTCTACTCCCCCGCGGTCGGCAAGCGCCGCATTGTAGCCTTGCCACAACGGTCTCCCGTCCCCCTTACCCGCGCATCCGAACAGTCAACCTCCGATTCCTTTTCATCTGTGACGTCGTCTTAAAGTCGCTCCCGTCCAAGGTCTCATCAACGTCCCCACGCCTCGCATCACTCGTCCCTACGCCACCGTCTTCCGCTTTGATGCTATGTGGAAAATCGACTGATCACACGAGTTTGGTTTTTGAGCGAGGAGTAGCAAAACCGCAATAGATAACATTGGCGTGTGTAAAAGTCCTTATCATATGATCATACTTATTCGTTCAATTGTATCAACTATAAGATACTGAGGAAATCTTTTCAGACTTCAACAATTCGACTACTCAACCACCGTAGGTTGGACTAATACCATCCGAACCAGCCAATCAGCCGATCAGCCTTCCTCTTCTTCCTTCCGCCTCCCGGTCACCGCCGCTCGTACACCCCTCCTT